GTCAGTGCGTCAAATTGTCATTAACTTTACGTCAGGAATCAATGACACCGCGTCAGTGTGTCAAATTGTCATTGACTTTACGTTACCAAAGTTAATTTCAACCATTGAACACATTATAAACGATCCTGACCATCCTTTTTTTTTCAAGCACCTACTTTACAAATTGTCTATAAAAGACATATCATGTAGTTAACAAACACCACACATTCATTACAAAATATAACATTAACATCCAAAACTTTAGATGGAGGACTTCGGTATAACAAACATCGACAATTTCACAAATTCTCATCTAGCTGTTACGTTTGCAAATGGCCAGATTACCCATAATCACGAAGGTGTGAGCTTTCAGTGTTCATCTCCAAAATTATTTACGATCCCACATGAGTGCACATTCGTGGAGCTGAAACAAAGAATTTGTAATGCTTTAGGCATTGATCATAACACCCAGTTCACTAACTTGTACTATCGGAAACCAAATCACAATGGTGAGGGTTTAGTTATATTTGAAGCTTTTTCTATTTTAACTGATGTTCATGTGGCGCAGATGCTTTCCTGGAAATCCAATTTTCCAGTCTCTTTGATTATTGAAATTTATGTCATCTATCAAAGATCAACAGAACAAATTATGACGCTTCTAAACCCTCCAGCCCCAAGCTCTTCATCAAACCCTCAATTCATCACTTCTAGCAAAGCTATAATATATTTTGGGGGACATATCCAGCATGCCACCATCATGAACTGTCCACATGGTTATGGCCTTATGTTTAAATGTCTTCACCCAATAAGAATGATCATCCAACACAGCTGGACTTTCAATCAATTGTTTCAAGAGGTAAGTGAGGTACTAGATTATGGAGACAGGAAACAAATTACAATAATCAATTATAGACGATCGATCTGGGTCATCAACCAAAAACTCGTCTATGATTGCATAGAAATAAAAAATGATTCTGATGTACAAATGATCACACGATGGAAAAAAATATTTGAACTTCATTCAAGCATTCAACGTACACATAACTGGTCAAAGATTGAATTGTTTGTAGAAACAAAAGACCTATGACCCCCAACACTTGAAGAAAGACTTCGTGATTGGCATAACAGTAAGTATATTGACCATCATGGAGAGAAAAAATATGCAATAGAAGATCTTTTCTAATTTTTAACCAATTAAATGTGTATTTTGTATTTTCTTTTCTATTTCCATGTCTGTTTCATTTTATTTTAATTATGAAAGTTTCATTTAGTTGTTGTTTATCTTCTTTTATTTAATTTTTTATCTATAAATTCATTTCATATTATCTAACAAAAATAATCTTAATGATTTCATTTAATTAATTTTGCATACAATAAATTAAAAAACAAAGATATTATCATAAATCAAATTATTTTATTTTTATTAATATCATTTTACAAACTAATTTATTAATTTTTAAAAAATTTAATATTTTATTTTCATTAAATATAATTTTATTATTTAATTTATTAATAACTTTTATATTAATATATATATTAATTAAATAAATAAAAACATATTGAGAAAAATATTATTAGTTAGGTAAATAAATATTAAAATGGGTGATTGAGATAAATAAAAAAAAATTATTCAAAATAATATTATCATATTACCAAAGTAGACGTACAGAATTCGACTCCCCGAAAGCCGAATTCTGGTCGTTAAACGGGTGGCGAGAAAGGCGACTTCTGAGAGCGGTTAAATTAGAATCGCTCTCCAAAAACGACTTCTAAGAGCGGTTAAATTAGAACCGCTCTCCAAAGTCGTTAAATACGAACCGCTCTCAGAAGTCGACTTCTAGGGAGCTTCGTCAGGGAGACCCTCTCTTACCCTACTTATTTGTTTTGTGCCTTGAGCGTTTTGCACATGCTATTACTTTTTCTATTTCTAATAATAACTAGAGACCCCTGTTTTTTGGTAGAAATGCTCTTCACTTATCTCATATTTTCTTTGCAGATGACATCATTCTTATATCAGAGGCATTTAAAGACCAAGTTCAACTTGTAAAGTCTATCATTGATAATTTCAGTCTGGCTTCTGGTTTCTCTATGAGCAATAACAAGACTAAAGTGGTTTTCTCCCTAAATGTCAACAATCATATGACCCATTCTCTTGGTAGTCAGCTTGGTTTTACTATTAGTACAGAGTTGGGTACCTACTTGGGGGCTCCTATCCATATAGGTCATCCTAACAAGCATGCCTACTCTTTTATCCTTGACAAGATCTAGAAAAAACTCTCTAATTGAAAAATCCATTCACTGTCTATGGCTGGTCGTATCACTCTTGCTCAATCTTCCATCTCTGGTATCCCAACGTATGTTATCCCGTATGCTCTTCTGCTCCCCCAAGGATAAGTGGACTTGGCTTCAGGAAGCTTAGAGATGTTAATTTGATATCTATGATGAAGCTAAGTTGGAAGATTATCACTAATCCTAACTCTCTTTGGGCTATGGTCTTTTGGCATAAATACAAATGCAGATTTAGTTATGATCCTTATGCCCGAGAAGTTCAAAATGCTTCACCTACCTGGAGAGGGATATGTAAGGCTTGACCTTATATGATTTCTAATGTTAAGTGGAACATTGGGATGGTCAAACTACAAAATTTTGGTATAATAAATGGGTTATTATTGATCTCACCCTAGAAGACTTGGCTCCTATAGGTATTTCCTATGATATGCAGGATATTTGATGAATCCACTTTTTATTATATTTTTACTTGCCTTTTTGGTGCTCCTTGATAGAAAAAATGGACTTAGATAGTGCAAATAATATAGAAATCACATTTTGAGTAAATATCATAGGTTTATTAATTTTTAGTTAATTTGCATTTAATTACATAGATATAGATTGCAATTTTAATTATCTTGATAATTTTGCAGAGTCCCCAAGTTAATTCTGAGATATCTTGACCTTTGGATGAAAGTTGCCTCCAAAGTAGCCACTTTTAGGAGCAAAAGTGGCAACTACAGCAAGTCTAGGCATTAAAGGTTCCAAAGTAGCACTTTCAAGTCCAAAAGTGGCAACTCTAGAGAGCTCCAGGGACGCCAAATTGGAAGCATGATGCGCGTGGCCACTATTGCCTTTCAAAGTGGCTACGCGCATCCAAAGTTCCCACTTTCAAGTCCAATAGTAGCAACTCCAGGAAGCTCATGACGCCACTCTCTGAAGCATGATGCGCGTGGCCACTATTGCCTTTCAAAGTGGCTACGCGCATCCAAAATTTCCACTTTCAAGTCCAATAGTGGCAACTCCCGAGAATTGTCAAACTTACGAGAATTGTACGTGGACACTTTCAAGGCCCAAAGGGGACACTTTCAAAGGCAAAAGTGGACACTTTGCTGACATGTCATCCACATTTTAGGAATTAGGGTACGGGACTTTTGACACTTTACACAATTTTTTCTTTGCCAAATTGAGACATTTTCCCAGAACATTGGAGTCTTGGGTGACAGCCAAGGGTCTTCTATAGGTTTTAATTTCCAATTTCCCTCTTGATTTTGATTGAATTTACATTAATGTTACTTACGTTCTTGCATTTGTTTCTTTCATTTGTGAAGCCCATCCACATGGAGGGCTAAACTTCCTTGTAATTCCTAGTCAATGCACATGAATCTTGAATTCTTGGGATTAATTGCAATACAAATCTTTCTTTCCTTGAATTTATTAACCCCAATCTTTGAATGAAATGGAATTTGCATGAAGGGAACATTGCTTAATGAACCCTAAATTACCCAACGAGATTCTAATTCAAAATTGCTTAATTTTGATTAATCCTTGAGGTTGCTTAATCTTAGGAATAAAGATTGGAGCCCATTAAGATGCTTAATTTTAATTGAGATGTTAAAGTTAATTTTCGCTTGTTAGATTAACTTAATTCAAGGGTAAGAAAGAGGATTATTGAATCATTTGAAAGAATAATGATGGAATTCATTGATTGACTAGAAATTACTCATTTTAATTGATTGAATTTCACTAGTTTACATTTTGCTCTTGATTAAAATTTAGAAATTGACAAACCTCCCCCCAATTTACTTGCTTTAAAATATATGTTCACACTTGTTCGATGTATGTTTCCAACCAAAAATTCCTTGGAGACGACCTAGGACAACACCCTAGTACTACATTTATTTCTTTGCATATTTGATGAGGATTAACGACAATCTTTTGCATGACGAGTAGCTAAATTCGTTTCATCAATATTCCTATTGCTACTTATGTTCTCAATGATTCTTGGAATTGGAATCTTATGGGTCAGCATATCAATTCAGACACTATATCTTTGATTGCTAGCTATCTTGTGCCTCATCCCTCTAAAGGCAAAGACTTCCCTTCTTGGTCCCTTACAAGTAATGGGCAATTCTCTTTTAAGTCTGCTTACAATTCCTTTCTAGGCTTCAAGGAAGATAGTGCCCCTAATAATATCTTCAATAATATTTGAGATTGGGAGGGCCGTCAGAAGATCAAGACTTTCCTTTGAAAAGTCGCCCATGGCCAGCTCTTTACTAGTGAGGAGATGAAGAAGCATCACTTTTCTGACAATGATAGTTGCGACTATTGTCATGATGTCACCGAGACAGTAATGCATGTTCTTCGGGACTGCTCCCTTGCTAATATTGTTTGGTCCTCTTTTGTTTTGCAGGATTTTTCAGTGTCATTCTTTAGCCTTGGACTTCATGGTTGGCTAAAAGCTAATCTCAATGGGAGCATCAAAACGCAGGAACTGCATTGGAGCATGCTATTCGGTGTGATTGCTTGGCAACTTTGGAATGCTAGGAAAGATCGCATATTCAAGTATTTTCCTTCTGTCCCCCAAAACATCATTCATCAATCAATAGACTATGCAAGGTTGAGCCATCCTCTCAATAGTTCTTCTATAAGGATCTTGAACAGATCCTCTAAATCTGAGACCTTTATCTCTTGGAGTCTCCCCACTACCGGCCTCTTAAAGCTCAATATTGGCCTCTTAAAGCTCAATATTGATGGTTCAGTCTCTCATTCTCCTCTTAAAGCTCAATATTGATGGTTCAGTCTCTCATTCTCCTCTTAAAGCCACTTGTGGAGGAGTTATCTGTGATGATCAAGGTAGATTGTGTATGAGTTTGTTTGCAAGATCGGTACATGTTCTGCAATTAAAGCAGAACTTTAGGGCTTACTTGAAGGCCTCAAACTTATCAAGGCTCACAATCTCCAACGTGTTGTGATTGAGATATATTCTAAGGTAGCAGTGCATCTCGCCAAGTTCGGTTGTGACATCTCCCATAGTTGCTTTCCTCTTATTAGAGACATTTGTGACCTTGCCAAGATGCCTAATATAGATGGCATTTTCCATATCTTTAGAGAAGCAAATCGGAGTGCAGACCATCTTGCTAGTATTGCTCATTATCATATTTTAGAGAATTTCATTCCATTGTATCTCCCCTCTTACTCTTGTTCCATTTCTTAGGAAGGAGACCTATGACCTTGCTTTCTCTCGTCTTATTGACTAATTTTCTTGTGCCTTAGTATTCCCAATAAGTAGAAAAAAATTATGAAAAAGCATATGTACATTTAAATTTGTATTTAATAAATAATTTTAGTCTTAAATTTTTTTTAAAAAAAATTAAGATATATATATATATATATAAAGAGATAAAATATTTGAAATTATAAAAACATATGAGAGTTTAAATTTAAATTTGATAAATATAAAAAATATTTTTAATTTATATTAAAAATATATAACTTATTGCTGGTTAAATCAAACACATTTTCATTATTCTCTTGAAAATGAAAGTCAAAATCAAATATGTTTTTCTTAATCTTACACATTTAAAAATAAAAACTTTTCAGAATTTTTTTTTTTCAATAACTAAACTGGTCCTCTAATTGATCCAACTATAGATAAATCCGTTTTCTTATTTTAACCATTCAGAATATTATGAAATAAAACAAATTACAGGAGAGAATCTTTTTTGTGTTACGTTTGGATCACGAACACCAGGCTTCGCCTTGAACCCATTTGTTAATGAAGGGAAGAAGTCAACAGAAAATGAAGTGGCGCGAAACAGGTACCATAGGCACGATGTGGTCACAACAAGCCTTACGTTAACAACAATCTTAAACAATCCAACCCCACGGTGTGCATTGCGCACCCTTTCTCCCTCCCAAGCTAACCTGCGCTTCTTCAACTCCATGGCTTCCATGCCTTTCTCCACTCTCTGCCTCTTTCACAAACCCAGTGCTATCACCCTCCGCTGCCTTGCTTCAGACAGGTTTAGCTTCGGTGCCGGTTCGGCGATAGCGTTCGGAAAGATTCGGAAGAACCGGAAAATCGGAATATTCCCCATTTGCAGAGCAGGTTCTGCTCTCGTCTTCCGTGACCTCGACGCCGACGATTTTCGCCACCCTCTTGATAAACAGGTGTGCGTCCCTTTCCCAGTTTCTTCGTAAATACTTTATTTAGTCCCTGAAAAATATAGGATGTCTCATGTGTGTTCCTCAGTGATATAATATAAATCATGCCTAAGGTTTCTGAATGTGTATTTCAGTTAAATTAGTTCCCATGGCATTAATCTCGCAACCTAATTTTACCGATGAAATAATTTGGCTATATTTAGAGACCAAAAATGTAATTTTAATGAGTCTGTGTCCGTTACTCCGTTAAATAACCTTAAGTGGACTAAATTATATAATTTTTTTTCATTTGAGTTTTTATAGATAAAATCTCATTAATCTGTTTAAAATGATGCTAATTAAGCCATAGAGTAACTTCGAAAAACTCAATTTTAAACATTTGTTTAAGTTATCCGTAAAGTAAATAAAAATGGGTTTTGTTAACCTCAACCCAATAAAATTGTAATTTTAATGCGCGAGTTTCAAGGTTTGAACTTATTTAAGTGTTTCTTGCAGTGTTTCATTTCTTTCATGATTTTTGTTTATTGGGAAGCACTAATGCTTTGTGGTCTGGTTTTCCTTTTATTCTGCAGAATACGCTGATACTGAGAGCAATTCCGGGATTGAATGAACTAGGAAAAGCTCTTCTAGGTAATAAACAGATGCATGCCACGTGTTCTAACTTCTAGGTTGTGTGGTTTACTACCGTTGGATTCCGCTGAAATACTATACTTGGTTGAACTTTGATTTTCATGACTGTAAATTACAAGCTGTTTCTGTCGTTGTAGCAGATGGTGGAGTTTTTGCCTCTTCGATTCTGGTTTTGCTGATTCTTAGAAAATCTTGCAAATACGAGTTTGGGTTATGATGTTTTATGTTTGTGAAACTAATGGGCAGCTTTGCTTTAGTTTTCATTTTCATTAACTTTTTCAGTTGAATGTTTTATTCAATTACATATCAAGTTCTAGACCGATGGTGGAATTCTTTTTTCCCTCATTTCTTGAAGGAGGATGCAAATGTATTGACTAGTGTACCTAACTTGAGTGTACTAAGCTAATACAATATTGACACATCATTAATTCTTACTAAATAGATCTTGCATTCATTGTGTACTAATGATGTCTTAAGACAAAATATTGCTCACTTTTTTCCCTCCATTCCTTGTAATTTATCCCATCAAAGATGGCAGAAAGAATTTTCGGTTCCTCGGTAATCCACTTTCTGTCAAAAATTTACATTCTCTTCTCTTCCATCATTTCTTTGAGTGTTGCGATGGATTGTCCCATCAAATTCTTATGCTCTTTAGTTTTCCGCTGCATCTCTAACTCCTTATTCAAAACCATCTTCTTGCTTTACCCAAATGCATTGCAGGTGTTTTCTGCAAATAAATTGATTTCTTTCAAGATTCTTGTGTAGCTCAACTACTTGGGTGACAAAAATTCACGAACACTCCAAGTTGAAATCAAACATCAAAGGTTGAAATCGAGAGTCAAGATGTTGTCTCATCCACAGCTCCATATTGGAGCTCTGATACCAATTGATCGAATCGTGGTACCTTTATTAGTAAACACAAGAAGGAACTCCAGACTTTACAGAATAAAACATGTACACTCAACAGTTCTCTGAGAGATTGCACCTCCTAAGCCAAAGCCTTAACTCTCACAATTGACAAGCTGATCTATCTCTCTACCTCCCTCTTATTTATAAAGGGAAATATGCCTTATTTCTTCTATTATCTCAATTTGGTCAACAACTAACTAGCTAATATATTGTAACAAAGTGCTAATGGCTCCCTACCTAACCTAACATATCATAACTAACTGCTAATGGGGTTACCTAACAGTATGTATGCTTTCAGATGCATAGCCTTTATTTCAGTTACTCAAGGCAATATATGTTTGAATAATCTTACTCTGTAAACTGGTAGAGTTGCTTTATGAAATAGTTGCCTTTAAATGAATTGCAGGAACTGTAGCAGAGCAGGTCATGCTCCTTGAGAACATTGGGACATCTGTACTTGTTTCTAAAAATCAGGTATAAATAACACTTTAGGAATCTACTTCAAGGAGTACTTGAAAACGAACGTTATGAGGCAGATATGCAATATGATACATAAAAAAATTACCTGCATTGAATAATTTTCCCCTCTTTGTGGAAGTTATGAGGTTTGTTGTAATCCATGGTTAGTAACTTACTATGTGCAAAATGGAAAAGATACAGTCATAAGACAATTGTACCTGCAATACATTAACATATTTACAATTTTACACAAGTTCAAATATGTCCACGTATTTGCATCAGAAAACACATGCGTTCTGGCAAAGCTCTATAATTATCTTCGTGAATTTCACTTCTATTTGTTCCTCATAATGAAAAATCAGAGTGCATTCCATTGTTTATGTACCTTTTATGTAAGAATGTACATTTGCATATGCATAATCATTCTTCTTAGAACAGTAAATTTACTTGTCTCTCTAATTGTTATCAACTTAACCATGTTGGTTGTTACTAAATATAGAGCTGTGAAGTATCTGTACATCACATTTCATATTTCCACTCTGTTGAGCTGTATGACATAATTTATCATTTTATCACTCATAGTTCAGTCAAACGAAATCTTCTTATCTGCAATTCAACAATGTTTGTATGTTGTTAGGCTTTATTTTATGCAACTTGGATCAACAAATATTGCAATTATGTTTTCTGCTGACTTGTTGCCACCCAGTGTCACATCATATAAATTAATAAATTTGCTTCTTGTTTTGTCAGCTTCCCGATCTTCACCACTTAATGGTTGAGGCTGCAGAAATTTTAAATGTTGATGCCCCTGATCTATATGTTCGTCAAAGTCCTGTGCCAAATGCATATACATTAGCTATCAGTGGTAAACGACCATTTGTTGTCGTTCATACTAGCCTTGTGGAGCTCCTGACAAGAGCAGAATTGCAGGTTCTAATTTGTATAATTGTTACATTTTTTGTAATTTTCAACCCAACTCCCCAATCTGCATTTTCCATATTCCAGAAGCAACAATATAGCAGAAGTGTGTCTTTGAGGGGGCATGTTGGATATAGGAGCCGTTACATGATATATATATATATATTCTTCTCTTCCAATATGCTTAATCAATATATTAGTCAAATTGTCTTTTTCTATCTTATCCATTAGTCTGCTTCCAAATTGTTACTAACTTGCTCTCAGTTTACTTTAACAGGCTGTTTTGGCTCATGAGTTGGGTCACCTAAAATGTGATCATGGTGTGTGGCTTACGTATGCAAATATTCTGACCCTTGGAGCCTATACTGTACCTGGTAGGTGATATGGGGCATCTTTTTTGTTTTTTATTTTTTTAGTAATGTGTGAATACTAGCGCATGATATGTGTTGCGCATATGTTGAAGTAGTTAACTATGTTGGATGATAAAGGTTGGAGAAACATTTTTTGTTTGACTCCTGGGGATTGAACTGGGAATGAAATCCATGTCACTTTTACCACTAATTGCATATAACAACCATGAAGACTTGTCTGTGATGCAATATTTTCAAACTTTTTCCTTAACCTTTGAAAGCGTAGCTTATTTTGACCACGGATATATATCTAACTCTAGCTGTTGCAGTTCTTATTTTGATATTGGTGAGATCAAGCTGTTTTTCATATTATGTTCTACAAAATTATTCTTTTGTAACTAATAGCATTTGTTGTAGGCATTGGTGGTATGATAGCTCAGACTTTGGAAGAACAGTTATTCCGCTGGCTTCGAGCAGCTGAGTTGACTTGTGATCGTGCAGCACTTCTTGTGGCTCAAGACCCCAAGGTATGCTGATGTCCAAATTCATAATCTGTCTTTAGATTTCTTATTTACATTATTTAATTATAAAATTTTCATTTCCCAACCCCGCAAGAGGTCGTCATCTCTGTCCTCATGAAATTAGCTGGGGGATGTCCATCTATGGCTGATCAACTAAATGTAGATGCCTTTCTGGAGCAAGCTCGCTCTTATGAAAAAGCTGCGTCCAGCCCAGTTGGGTGGTATATAAGGTTTGTATTTACCCGTGTAGGGCACCAGAAAGTTGGGTAGAAATTTTTTCTTTTAGAAGCTAAACTTCTTCTACTGATTAGGAATGCACAAACAAGGCAACTGTCACATCCTCTGCCTGTTCTACGTGCTAGTGAAATTGATGAATGGTCAAGAACTCCAGCTTATAAATCTCTTTTGAAACGTGGAACTCAGACCAAATCAGTAAAACAAAATGTCTAGCAGTGCCTAATGGATTGTGTTCTAAATACGCAACAGCTAAAGGTTCTTTGAGGTTAGTTTCTTAAAAGTTATAACAATTTTCTTTTACTTTTCTGAACTTCATCCAATACGGTAATATGTCCAACAATAATTATTAATCTGTTTGTATGAGTTATAGGATAACTGAATACATACTTGTAGTTTGTAGACTAGATAATACATACAATATATGAAGGGATTTAGCTAGATGTATAAAGTGAGAAAATAAAGACTTATTCTTAGTTTATTTAAATTCAAGTATTTTATAAACATAACCAATTTTAGATCAACAGTGAATAATGATAAAAATACGAAGTCCACATTCTTTTCAGCAGTAGTATACTTTTTCCTACCTTCCTACTCCGTTTAGTGAATACTAAGTATGTGATAAGCGTAGGCCACCTTTAATGAAAGTTTACCAAAGGAAGTGTAAGAATAGGACAGCTGTAGAGAATTTGAATTGTCAATCATAACTGTATTAGTTATAACTGTATTTTGTTTCATACTCTATAAATAGTTAGTTAGAAAAGGGAGAAGAGATCTTTTGGAGGAATCAGAGATTGGAGGGAGAGGCTGGAACTCTCGAAATTCCAATAGGAAGGTGTTGTACAGTTTCCTATTCTCTTCTCTTCTTCAAAGAAGATCCAATAAAGAAATCTATTCTTCGATCAGGACCTATCAGTATGTGCCGGTAGTGTTGGTCTTAGCAAACGACGAGCCATAACCCTCACTTATGTTTCCATAGAATATCCATTTTGAATGCTTGCTAGCAATTTCATTTCTCACTGTTTTATTATACTTTATGGAAAATTTATCGCATGGTGGCAGATGTTCGAATGGTTTCAGGAAGCGTTAGGATTTATTGTGGATCTAAGGCTGCTGCAAATCTCTCACACTATTACTGTAAATGTACAAAAATGTGTATTCACTGTAATGTATTAATCAATCTGTAAGTAGAATTTTGATGAAAAGGTTTTTTATTTCGTAGAAATATTGACCCTTGGAAAGGAAAGTATTACTTGTTTAATTCTAGTTAATAAAATTTCTCGGAGAAGCTAGAATACACTATGATGTAAGTTTTATGACTGAATTTTTTATTAAGTGTTCCCAGTGCACTCTTAGATTTTCACAAAGGGGAGGGTCGCTGGAGAAGACATGATCGACCCATTGCTGCCACCCGTTGGTAGGCCCCTTGACGGGCCAGAAAGGAAGAGGAGCACGAGGGAATGATTGTCTCACGAAATGACAACGCAACAGGAAAGGGGCCAACTCGTGAAGGAGACGATCAGCAGGGGCGTAGCGAACGTTGGCTTCCTCCAAGTATAACCCCTCTCCAGCGAGACCATTTGCTTCCTCTAACTCCTCACCAGGAAAGTACTACGGACAGGGTTGAGGAGGGAAAAGGACATCACTAAGCAGCTTCTGTGTAGTGTCCCAAATGTCCCAAATGCCAAAAGAGATGCTACGGGGATGATTTCGAAAGCGGTGCTGGCGGAACTGGCCGCTGAACCGCTGCGAGAACTCGAAAATCTGGGGCAGTAGTTTTAGTAGACTTGGTTCAAGCCATGAAAAGAAGTGGAAAGGCCAAGTTTGTAAAGAGAACAGGGTGGAAAAGGAGGAAGAAAGAAAGGGTGGTTAATAGGATTTACAATAAAAGGGGGAAGTTGCAATTATGGTGAATTTAATGTACAAAGTAATGATTACCATGTACCTCGAGAGGGAGGGAAGTCTGTTAAGAGAATTTAAATCCAGCCTATGGTTACCGCTTTTGCCATAATGGAGTGTGGTGAGAAAGGTTTAGTGGGCATGTTTTTAGGAAGTTAAAATGCAAATAACTATAGAAAGAAAAAGGGGGTTTAAAAGAAAGAAGCCTTAAAGAAAGGGGCTGCTAGAAGAATGCATCTGAGTATAGCCTCCATACTCAAATGCAAAGGGGTTATTGTTCGGAGAATAACGAATAATGAAAAAGAAACAATAACATTGGTGAAAGTTTTAAAAAGGGGTTATTGAGTTGCAGTGAAAAAGAGGCGGCAGCCAGCTTCCCAACACATGTCATCTCAGCCTCTCGCTGGAAGCTCCATACCGAAAATAGCAATACGAAGTGACATGCTGGGGGAACTAAAAACCCATAAATAGGCAATGAGTAAAGGCAGCAGGGAGGAGTTCATACTCATTTGATTCTCCTTTCATCATCAGAATTGTGGTGAAAGAGGGTAGATGTAGAATAAAAAGGAGAATGGCAAAGGGAAAGAGACACGCTATTGTACATGCACTTCGTCAAGTTTACGAATCCAGAACTCTTAAGAATTCAATAATATTTCCATTATTAAACATGTCTCTTCCACTAACGACGACGTCGTTTCTGAGACTAAGGCTTTCAATCCAGTGAAAGGACGCATGGAGGCTATCATTTAAAAAATATCAAAAATTAAATTTTAACAAAAAAATTTAAGAACTAATTTCGAAGAGTACTGCTGTTATAAGAAACAAAAATATAATTGTTTTTTTTTAATTTGATTAATTTCCTTTATTTTGTAAAGTATAATAATATTTAATTATGTATAAATTTAACATAAAAAATATAATAAAAAAGGCTATTTTTATAAGAATATCAATGATTAATTTTCTCATTTACTATATTAAATAAATTAAAATTAGTACAATTTGTAATAGGCTTAGTTGCAAGCATAAAAAAAATATTTATTTTTATTTTTAGTTTTTGATAAATATTAAGTATTTTGCGATAAATCTTTATAAATTTTTTTTTGTTAAGATTTAATCTTTAAAATATTAATTCCTATTGTCAACTTTGTATTTTAAATGTTGAACTGATTAATGAAAAAGTTAGCTAACTCATTTATTTTTTTTTAATTTTTTATTATTTAAAATTAATATTTATAAATAATATATTGAACATATTTTACATAATTAAAAATAAATCTCTTTTTCTTTATTTTTTTCTTTTCTCTTCCTTCTCCTTCTCAGATATTTCACTCTCACCCACAGCCTGAACCCAACCTCTCCCCATCCCCACTCCTCTTTTTTACAATTTAAAAACTAATGAACCTCAAGCATTTTAAAAAGAAGATTTTGTATAACTCACATCATTAGCTCAATCAGATTTATCAATATTTGTAAGCATGATTTGTTTACTAGAAATGGGATATGGCTATAGCATCCTTGCAAGAGCATAAATAAAAATATCAACAAATAAATGAGTAATTAATTATCAATAAACTAGAAAAAAAAAGTTGCAAATTCAATACTACAAACATCTAAAGGAGTGTTTAGTATCCAGAATCTTTTAACTTTCTCAGAAATGTTACTTAAAAAGTTTTTTTACTCATGTTTGGTGTAAGATACAAGCAAATATTCCCAAGAATGTGAGATTTTTAAGAAACTTGAATTGTGAGGAAATTGGAATTTTCATTTTCCCATCTCAATATATAGGTATCTTCAACTTTTTCAGAAATCTGAAAATTTTGGACAAAAATGCCCCCTCTTTATCCCACTTCACTTTACTAATTCCAAATCAGTTTTGCACTTTCTCTTCTCTCTACTTCATTGGTCTCTCTCATGCTCTCTTATCTATAGCTGCTCTGGTCCTACTCTTTGTTAAGCATGTACTCTTATTTTTGTTCATTTCTCTCTCTTAATTGCCATTATTTGCCTGTGCTGCTATGCTCCTTCTTTATTTATTTTTTGTTAGTTTATTTGTTGCCATTATTTGCAGAGCTTTATATGGCTTATATTTAAATTAAGAGTATTTTTGTAAAAGATAATATTTCCGAGTAAGTTTTTTTTAATACCAAACATGAGAATGAAAGAAAATAAAAAGATTCTCAGGAAAGTTACTTAGTAAACAAATATGAGTAACAAGTTATCCAGGAAACACATTCCTGAAAATCTCACTTAAAAATATTGTAGATACCAAACACCCCCTAAGATGCCAAAATAAAAAAGTGTTGGAAACATAGAACAAACAAAAGGCATTCAAAATGCAAAAACATGACAATATCATTACTAACATTATATAATCTTCTTTCATTAATTAAATTGAGGGATTCAAGGCCTTAGAAATTTACCCAGTACAATCAAAGTGAGGAAGCTTTGGACTTCAAGCTTGTCCTCTTTTCACGCAAAATAGCCAACCTTCATTGAATGAGCCAAAATTTTGAGTGCCAAGTGTTCCTGTTGTAGAAACACTAGTCTTCAAATCTCCACTCTGAAGCAGTGATGTCACTCTGATTGTCAAGGCAAGGGCTTAACGATAATAAACTCCAATAATATGTAGGCGCGGAAGCACTTGGTTTTATGAAGCGATTAGTGTTGCGAGGAATGCTTTAAGGTATTAACGAAAGAAAGCAGGCATACGGAGAGGGTACTCGGTTTAATTAACGTAACCAAACAGAGTAGGGCGTCGGTCTATTGACCGAATAGGTACTTGGCTTATCGAAGATCCTACACCCTAGGGTAGTCGGTTTAGTAAAGATCACATTAGGGTTTCAGATTTTTTAGGGTTTCCTCGAAGTGTGTGTACGAAATGAAAGGGTGGTCGATCTCAGCCGCAGATTTGGAGAAGATCTGTCAGTCTAGAAGGGGCACGACCCTTTGCTTGCTCGAAGCTACAGGTTCTATAAATTCGTGGTGGACCAGGCCTCTCTTCATGCTTGCTTGCTCTAAACCGAGGGGTATATATTGTTGCTCTAGACCGAGGCGTATTCATAGTTCTTGGAAGCCTACTTTGTTTCTTCCAGTAATTGTAAGGTACACTTTAGTCATCATTTTTTAATCTTTTCCATGGTTCTTTGTTATGGCCGAGTCTGTAGAATGGGAGGATTCTCTGTCAAACTCATCGATGCCGACTACTGTTGGTGAGGTTGAAAATGTTAGAGGAACCGAAGAGGGGGAGATTGCTCTAAGACCGAGTGGGGTGGATGGTGATATGGTAAGGGAGTGTAATGAGGGAGCTGAACCGTCTGGTGTTGCCAATAGTTTTGATTCTACTCAATCGTTGCCGAATGCTAGCCCCCCTAGGGAAAGGCCGACATTCCCCCTTGCTCGATTCCTGGGTATGAGTGGGTTCACGGTGAAGTGGCCGCCTACTTCGCGCGTTTTCAAAGGAATAGCAGTCTCCAGTCTTTTGTCGATCATTGTGATATATCGTTATAGGAGGCTTCAGATCCATATCCGATAACTATCAGTACCTGTCGAGGCGAAGACTTAGACAACCCCGACTTTGTGTTTTTAGGAGAAGGTGTTGGGATGGTTAACACTTTTTTTGTGTATGAATATATGTTTAGGGAATTAGGTATAAGACTTTCCTTTGACGACTTCCAAATGGGAGTGTTGAGAGTTTTAAACGTAGCGCCGACAAAACTCCATCCGAATGGGTGGGCGACGATGCAGGCCTTTACGATTTTATGTAAATTTCATTACATTGAGCCTAGTGTAGGTTTATTTCTTCATTTCTTTTATACTCGTCCTTTGGAAAGGGTGAGGTGGGTGTCGTTAATAAGGCAGCTTGACATGCCTTTATTTAAACCCTACACTTCCTCTTTCAAGGGTTTCAAGACTGGTTACTTCAAGGTAATCGTGCACCCTGTAGGTAGGAATTACTTTTTTGATAGCGAAGACAATCCACTTTTTCCTTTCCATTGGACCTGAGTACCTTGTAGGCATGATATTTTTCCCGAGAAGATGTTATCAGCGGAGGAGTTGTCGGCTTTGGAGTATATAAAGACACTTCCGAGGGAGCTCCCTGTTCGGTCTTTTATTTTGTTATTGAAGTCTCCCCAACCTCAGTTGGACATGGATGGTATGTTTCGCATTTTTGCCTGGACTTTGAATATTGGTTTATATTGATTTGACTTCTTATTTCTATTGTAGGTATAATGGCACAAAGAGGATCCGACTTGGGCTACCAGAAAGGTCTTAAGCTAAAAGCTCCCGAGGGCACCTCTCCTGCTGATCACCGACACCCGATCATAGATTAGATTCCAACTATAACTGAGGCCCGCTCCCCTCCTCAGGACTTTTCCTTGCCGAGGGTAGACCCAAGAAAAGGAAGGACAAGGGTAAGCAGAAAGAGGCTGAAAAGGGAAAAAGGCATAAACATGCCAGTGCAAGCCAACTGGGAGACCCATCGGCTCAAACAGTGGTTCCGACTGCCTCTGTGACCGAGTCCTTTTTTGCTGAGGGGTTTCGGGTCAATCGAGTGATTTGTCCTGATCATTTATCGGAGTCGGGACGTGCACTTATAAATAATCAAGATTACCGGACACGTTGGTAGTGGTATTGTGAATTTTAGGCTCGGGCCATGGTGATGCCTGTAGCTTTGCTTTGGAACCGCTGCAAGAGTTAGAGAGGGTTCAAGGCTGACTCGCTAGCACTGAACATACCCTCACAGAGAGTGAAGAGATTCAGTCAAATTTGTTCGAGACCAACAGGCTGTTAGAGGGGGAAGTTGCCGAAATGAAGGAGCACTTCCACATGCTGGAGAATCGGATGCAAGCGGCGGAGGAGGCTCTGAGGGCCAAGTGCGCAGAGCTGGAAAGCAAAAATCTGGCCTTGGATCACGAGAAGCAGAAGTTTAAAGCTGAGCTAAAGGCTCTAACCAACGAGTGTAATTTAAAACTCGTGGAAGAGCATGAGGCTGGCTTTAGACATGTCGTGCGCCAAGCATTTCAATTCTGCCAAGTGCATGCCCACTTCAATTTTGATATGTCAAGAGATTTCTTTGATGGGAAATTTCTACCATATGAAGAGGTGGATGAAGAGGTGGAGCCCGACGCCAAAGCACCGAACCAAGCTCAAAGTGCTGCTGATGAGGAAGTCCCTACGGGGCATGGTCCAAATAGGGATTAGCTGTTTCTTTTTCTTTGTTGTTGATTGTAGGCCAATAGTGCCTAATTTTTGTAATCCATTCGGCTAATGAATACAGATTCATCTTTTGACTCAGTTTTACTACAAGCCGGCCACTAGCTTATATACTAATGAGCCATGACTATTAAGTAATTATGTATAATCGACTAACTGATACATTGAAATCTTTTAATAATATATTCAATACTGAATAGAGATTTCTTGTTAAAGGTATTAATAATCGATTTGTCCTTTACCGAGTAGAGGTATTTCAAGTTTCATCATTGGCCAAGTGATGGGTACTCGGGAGGGAATTTTTAGGTAAATTCAACCTTGGCCGAGTAGGTGCACTCGGGAGGGAATGTTGAATAGATTCATCCTCGGCCGAGTAGAGGTATATTTTGAAGTTTCATCCTTGGTCGAGTGGTGGGTACTCGGGAGGGAATTGTTAGGTAAATTCAACCTTGGACGAGTAGATGCACTCGGGAGGAAATTTTAAAAATATTCACTTAAGGACGAGTAAGATTAAAAATGCATAGAAAGATCATTTTATTGATAATAGGATGCCTTGTTAAAAACCTTCTAAGGAAAACCTCCTTTCACGTTCTTTTAAGAGGATAAAACCTGAGTGAGGAAAAGAGTGCACCAATGGATACATTACATGTGTTTTAACTGAAATAATGCTTTAGATGTGTAGCGTTCCATGTCCTCGGTATTTCCTTCCCTTTCAGCGTCTCAAGCTTGTATGATCAATTGTCGAGTCGTGCCGATATCTGAAAGGGTCCGTCCTAATTAGCAGCGAGTTTTCCTTCTCTTCGGTCTTGGCGTGCTTCCCCTGTTGCCCTCCATACCAAGTCCTCATCATGAAATTGTCTTGGACTTATTTTTGAGTTGTACTTTCTGGCCATCACTCTTCTGCTGGCTTCAGCCATAATTGCTGCTTGATCACGTTTCTCATCCAATAAGTCTAGATTGATGGCCAGGGATTCGCCATTAGTCTGCTCCTCAAATGTTGCCTGCAAAATGATGGTTCTCCTTCTTCGACCGGTACCATGGCATCAGTACCATAGGTTAGCCAGAAAGGTGTTTCTTTTGTAGTTGTCTGAGGGGTACATCTATAGGCCCAGAGGACCTCTGGTAATTTCTCTGCCCACTCTCCTTTTGCCGACCCCAATCTTCTTTTTAACTCATGCAAGATGACTTTGTTTGCAGCCTTGGCTTGACCGTTGGACTGAGGGTGCTCGACCGATGTTACCCTGTGTTTAATTTGTAATCCCTCTATTGAATCGTCTGTTTGTAAATTGTAGCCCGTTATATGTGATGAAGGTGTATGGAATACTGAAACGTGTGATTATATTTTTTCAAGTGAACTTTTGGACATTTTGTGTCGTGATCGTGGTGAGTGGTTCTGCTTAAATCCACTTAGTAAAATAATCAATGGCGACTATCAGAAACTTACATTGTCCCTTAGCCAAAGGAAAAGGTCCGAGAAGATCCATCCCCCATATAGCAAAGGGCCAAGGTGAGTTTATGGGGTGGAGTTCGTCCGCATGTCGATGTATGTATGGACCATGTTGCTGACAGGGGATGCATTGTCTGACGAAAGTGTCACAGTCCTTGGATAGCGTCGGCCAAAAGTATCCAGCCCTTAGGACTTTGGTCGCCATTGTTCGTTTGCCTAAATGAGTACCGCAGATTCCTTAGGACTCGACCTTTATTTTTTTGAACTCCTGATAGTATTGTACCATAACCGAGTCCTTGACTTGGTAGTTGTCGTTGACCTGTTCGGCCACCACCTTTGAGTCACTCCAGCAAGTGATTCGTTTAACCTCAATTTCTTTTGCCAACCTAAGGTTGGCCAACAGTGCCTCATACTCGGATTGATTGTTGGATGCTTTAAAACCAAACTGAATAGATTGTTCAATCATCACAGTGTTTGGTCCTTCCAAAATAATCCCAGCCCCACAGCCTTGTCGATTTGACGATCTGTCCACATGCAGATTCCACATATCAGTACTAGTTCGTTCCTGCTTAGTGAATTCATTGACAAAATCTACCAGTATTTGAGCTTTAAGAGGCCCTCGGCCTTCAAAGTGGATATCGAACTGGGACAACTCGATTGTCCATGTCACAAAACGACCGACTAATTAAGATATTCTCAAGATTTTGGCAATTGGACAGTCAGTACGAACTATAATTTGATGGCTCTGAAAATAATGCCTCAACTGGCAAGCTGTCTGAACCAGCGCTAATATGACCTTTTCCATTAATTGGTACCAGGTTTCAACATTTTGAAGTGCTCAGCTGATGAAACATATCGGCCTTGGTTCAGGGGTTTCATGTAATAACACAGAGCTAATGGCATTTTCTGACACAGCCAAATACATAATCATGTTTTGTCCATGTATTGGCTTTGTTAAGATGGGAAGAGTCGTCAACATGTCTTTGTATTGAAGAAAAGCTTCTTCACATTCGTTCGTCCATATGAATTTGTGTGACTTTCTGAGCAGATTAATGAAAGGTCGAGACCTTTCCGCCATTGCTGGTAAGAATCTGGCGAGGGCAGCAATCCGGCCAGCTAACCTTTGTACCTCTTTTACATTCTGGGGGCTCGTCATATCAATGATGGCTCGCCATTTATCGGGGCTTGCTTGGATCCCCTTTTTAGAAAGCATGAATCCCAAAATTTTTCCCCCTACTACATCGAAGGTGCATTTCTCTGGATTGAACCTCATTTTGTGTCATCTTGCTTCACTGAATACTTCTTGTAAATGGGCGACATGTTTATGAACCGAGACTGACTTAACCACCATATCGTCAACATAAACTTCCATGCATTTGCCAATCTGTTTGTCAAAGATTTTATTCATAAGTCTTTGATATGTTGCCCCAACATTTTTGAGACCGAATGGCATCACTTTGCAGCAGAAATTTGTTGTGTCCGTGATGAACGCCGTCTTCTCTTCATCCGGAGGATACATACGAATCTGGTTATAACCTGAGTACGCATCCAAGAAACTTAATAACTTATGGCCGGCAGCACCATCAACTAATGCGTTGATGTTCGGGAGTGGATAGGTGTCTTTTGGGCATGCCTTATTCAGATCGGTGAAGTCCGTGCACATTCTCCATTTTCCATTAGCCTTTTTCACCATTACTACATTAGCCAGCCAAGTGGAGTATTGCACTTCTCGGATAAATCCGGCCTGTAATAACTTAGTGGTCTCTTCTTTCATTGCTCGTGCTCTATCGCCACCAATTTTCCTCTTTTTCTGCGCCACTGGTTTTGCTCCCCTGTAAATTGACAAATGGTGGCACAGAAATCCAGTATCTATTCCCGGCATGTTTGAGGCCGACCAGGCAAACAAGTCGGTGTTTCTTGTCAATATTTCCTGAAGATTCATCTTATCTTCTTTAGACAAACAAATTCCCAAATAGGTGACCTGCTCGGGCTTCATTCCTAGCTGGAACAGTTGTTTGTTTTCATTAGGCTCGACCCAACATCCCTTTTCAATTCTTGGGTCTAATTCAATATCTAGGTCCACTCTTGTCCGAGGGGATACCATGTTAACATCTCGTTTGCGCTCGTGAAGTGGCTTTATATGTAAGCTTGCAAAATAACATTCCCTGGCCATCTTTTAGTCGACATGAACGGTAACAATTCGGCCTTTGTCAGTTGGGAATTTCATAGCCAAGTGAGGGTTGGACACTATGGCCTTCAACTTATTGAGTGATGGTCGACCGAGTAATATATTGTACAAAGTGTTTGCATGTACTACCAGATAGGTGACTTTTATGCATTTTCCTTCGTCTTCTGATCTGAACAGGGTGTATAGGTCAATATAGCCACGTGTCTCAACTCGCTCTCCTAAAAATCTAACCAGTGGCTCATGGTACTCCTTCAACTCCTCTTCTGGTAACCCCAATTGTTTGAACGTATTCCAGTACAGGATGTCAGCCGAGCTCCCCTGATTGATAAGGGTTTTTTGGATTGTGCAGTTAAGGATATCGACACTTACGACCATTGGATCATCCTGAACTGGATCTACACACTGGAAGCCTTCGTCAGTAAAGGTGATAGGTGGGATTCAGATTCTATTGCCTAACGATATGTTATTTACGGAGCGGACCTGTCTCAAATGTCTCTTTCTAGCTAAATTAGTTGGTCCTCCGTCAGCGAACCTACCAGCTATAGTGTTGATGATCCTCTTGAGATATTTTTCATACTCGTCGTTGTCCAACTGCATTGTCGTTCAGGCTTATTGTCATTGTATCTTCGTGGTGGGTCAGGGTAACAATTTATACTTTTTTCAGAATGACCGAGGGGATTTGTTTGTACAAAATCCTGCAGATGCCTGTCTTTAATCAAATCCTCGATTTGGTCCCTTAGGGCCATGCACTCTTCGGTGGTGTGCCCTCTATTTCTATGATACCTGCAAGACTTGGACTTGTTTGCCCGAGGAGGGGTATTGGCACGCTTAGGCATAGTCAGTATCTCGGTTACCAGAGCTTGGTCGAGTACCCTAGATCGATTAGTATTGAGGGTTGTGTAAGAAGGATACTTAGGTCCCCTAGGAGGTTTTTTGGCGTCACTCTTTCGGTCCTTGTTCTCTTGCCTAGGCATAAAAGCTTCTCTCTTGTCTGCTTCTTTTGAGTTGGATCCTTGTTCTAGTCGTACCTGGTTTTGGTATTCCGCCAACTCTTCCATTTGCATGTATTTGGCAGCTCGGTTCCTCAATTCATCCAAATCCATAGGTGGCTTTTTGCAGATACTATTAACAAAAGGGCCTGGTTTCAGGGTTGTAGTGAGATGGTGCATAGCTACTGCTGGCTCTAGATTGTGGATTGACAAAGCGACTTTGCCAAAGCGTTCCATGAATGCTCTAAGCGTCTCTCTTTTTTCTTGGTGGATATTGACGAGCGCTAAAGACGTTAGAGGGTGGGGATGACTTGCCACAAACTGAAGAGTGAATTGTCTGGTCAGGGTTGTAAACGAATCGATGGATGAGGGGGGTAACCTGGTAAACCAGCTAAGTGCTGATCCCCTAAGGGACGTGGGGAATATTCTGCATAATAAGGCATCGTTTTCTGTGTATAGGCCGACTTGAGTTGTGAAAATGTCCAAGTGTTCTCCTGGATCAGTCGTCCCATCATACTTTTCTAACGTTAATCCTCTCCAATTGTCAGGTAACTTGGCCTCCAGGATAGGTTGGATGAAAGGGCTTCGATTCGAGACATCGTCCCTTTCGGTAGGGGTTTCAATTTGCGTTCCCTTTGGTTTCTCTTGCAGTGCCGAGGACTCTCCTTGTTCCTAAGTGAAAGGGGTAGTCTGAGACGGTATGTGGGTTTTAATTTCCTCCCTCAAGTCAGTGTTCTCCTTCCTTAAGGCCGACATCTCAAGTGTATCTCTTTCCCTGGCTTGTTGTATTTCTCTCATCTCGGCCTGAAGCCGTCTTACTACAGAGAAAAGGCTTTCATCGCCCCCCTTTCGGCCAAAACTTCAGGGATTAGTTGATTAGTGTCACATCTTCCTATTGACGGGAAGCTCCTCCTTGATAATTCTGTCCTTCCTGTTGGCTTCTTGTTAGTACCATGTTGATTTAGAGGCGAGGCAATCGTGCCCCATGGTAGGCGCCAAAATGTTCCTGCTGTAGAAACACTAGTCTTCGGATCTCCACTCTGAAGCAGTAATGTCACTTTGATTGTTGCTGACGTGGGGGGAATACCTTCAAAAGGCACTCCGATGCTGAAGTCAGGATTCGGTTATGAGTAATAAATGTTATTTAATATTGAAGTCAACCCTTTACCTGTACTTTCTACCTTCCTTTTATAGGCACTGTCATGGGCTAATGGACTTGCTGAATCAGCCATGGCTTTGACCCTTTAATTAAAGTAGATGATGATCTGTTAATTACTGCTGATTGAATTAATTACCTTTTAATCTTTACATGCGATTTTTGGCAATGTTAAGCCGAAGGGGTACTCGGTTACCTTTTCCTACTAGTAGATATGAGGGATGGATAGGACCAAGGAGTGTCCTATCCAGTACACCAAGTGATGATAGTTTTGCCTTCAAATGCACAAATTTGTTTGTGTTGCATGAAGACTTGAAACATTCCTTAGTTGCATAAGCACATACCATTCCATTATTTGTACAACATTACCATCCCAAACCTCAAACACCCAATTGCAAGGTCCTCATAATAAACTCAAAAATTGAATCTTTCATCACCCTAAAATCCGCCATCATAGCAATGCAACAAAATTGGGTACAGTTAAAAAAAGGGAGGAGGAGGGGTTATGGTTATGGGCTGAAGCGAGATAGTAGAGAAGGGAAAAGAGAAAGGGATTTATTTGTAATTATGTAAAACATATTTAAAGAATTATTTACAAATATTAATTTTAAATAATAAAAAATAAAATATTAAATGACATGACATGCCACGTGATGTTACATAGGAGTATTGAGTTGGTTTTCTGTTAGTTAGCTCAGCACTTAACAGAAAGAAGTTGATAGTAGAGACTAAATCCTAATTTCTTAACATTTCAAGAATTAAATTCAAATAAAATTTTATAAAGACTTATCATAAAATACTTAATATATATAGGACAAAAAACATAATTAAGCAAAAAAGAAAGCATTTGAGACAATTTATTTTTAAGCCAATTATAAATTTATAATGCATGACTTTTATTATATATGGTACAAAGATTGTATATTGTATATAGAGGGGATGAATGAAATGGAAGAGAAGCTATTACAATTCATGAAAGTGACCCAGTCGAATTTCAAGAATCAAGAAGCATCAATGAAGAAACTTAAAACTTAAATTGGACAATTTTTAAAATAGTTGGCAAATAGGGATTACAGTAGATTCTCTAGTAATGCTATTATGAGTCAAAGGGAACAATGTCATACTATTACAACAAGGAGTGCAATAGCAATTTCTAACCCCAAAGTAGCAGAGAAAAAGGCAGCTTCTAAATAAGTTGAATGCATTCAACAAGATGACTTCAAGGAAGGAAAATTTACTCTTCTAAGAAGAGAAAATTCAATGGACAACAATTGCACTAAATGAGAAAGAACTAAAAAACAAATTTTTGAGGATGTTTAGAAACCTATAGACAAGGAGAGGTACAAAAGACTTTCATTCTCTCAAAGTGTGCAAAATCCTATTAAAAAAAATAGTTTGAGAAATTTTTGGATGTATTTAGAAAGCTCCAAATAAATATACATTTTGCTCAAGCATTAGAGCAAATGTCGTCATATCTTAAGTTCATGAAGGAGTTGTTGTCAAAGAAGAGAAAGTGGGAAGTAGATAAAACAGTCCCATTGATTGAAGAGTGTAGTGCCATTTTAAAATGAAAATTACCTCAAAAGTTGAAAGATTTAGGCTACTTTAACATACCATCCACCATTGGCAATTATACCATCGGAAGAACCCTTTTGATCTAGGGACAAGTATTAATTTAATGCTTCTTGCTATAATGAAGAAATTGGAGATTAAAGAGGTTAAGTCCACAAGTATCACTTTGCAACTTATGGATAAATCATTTACATATTACTATGGAGTTGTGGAAGACCTTTTAATGAAGGTAGATAAATTTATTTTTTCAATCAATTTTATAATTTTGAATATGGAGGTGGATGCGGATACTCTCCTAATTTTAGAGAGGCCATTTTTAACCATTGAAAGAGCCTTGTTGACGTGTAAAAAAGAGAATTGATGTTGAGAGTTCAAAAAGAAAAAAAAACTATGGTTCATTGAGTTTCTTTTTTATGATTTAATGTATTGTTCTAATACTTGTATCTTTCATTCCATTTTAAGGTGAGATTTACGTTATTTTTAATTCAATTTTTGAATATTGTAAATATGAATATTTTTATCTAGTCGATTTTACTAATTAATTGGGATAATATATAGACAAATATATATATTTTTAAACAAAATTATTATTATTTTAATAAAAAATTAAAAAGCTAACTTGAACGCTGTCAAAAGATATAAAATTAAGTATTTAATTCAAATGTATTATTTTAAATTTACTTCTGCATGATTCGTAAATAATTTTAATCTATATGCTTAGAATATAAAATTTATAATTTTACAAGAACAATGCTAAAATAAATACTTACAATTTTTTCCATTTTGATGCTTTTAACATGTTTAACTTTATTTCCTCTCTTTATTTTAGCATTGTATTTATATATGATTTTCAAATCCCCTTGTCTAGGTTCACCAAGGCAAGATGACCCTTACGGGATCCTATACCTTACATTCAGATTATGGTATTGGACACCGAAACATGTAAAATACACACTTAGATTATTTGTTTTAAGATTAGGAAGAACTGATTTTGATAAAAAAAAAATTATAAACATAAATGATGAGTGTAAATTAATCTTTGTTATAGGTTTTGTATTGAAATGTATGTGAAAATGAAATTGATTCTATATTTTTATCGAAGAAATATTTAGTATTTTTTTATTAAAAAAATCAGAGATTATAAGGTCTTTCCAAGTTTAAAAAGTTTAATATTAATTATTATTTATGGTTTGTTGTTGTGTCTGAAAAAAAGTTTTGCACAATATAATTTACCTTCGATTAAATAGGCTAATCTCAACACATGAACATGTACCATTGGGTCAATCTTTCTGATTATAAATACTTAATACTTATAAATATGATTTTATTTTATTTTATGTTGATATTTAAAAATATTTTTTGTCATTATTTAGCAAATATGTGCTATGTATTTAATTATGTCATTAGTTACATCTCAATAATTGTTATTATGATGCGAATAAATATATGATACATCATTATTAAATTAAATAAAAAATTTCTTTAAAATTTATGAAGAATAAAATTTATGAAAAATTTAAAAAAATTATATTTATAAAAAATAAAAATATTTTTAAATTCATTTTAATTATCATTTATGTGATCATAAATTCAGTTATGAAATATCACTTAAACACATGAATCAAACTAACAGAAGTGATTTAAAAATTCTAGAAAAAAAAATCAATTATGAGATAACAAGAAAACATGCATTTACGATGTTGTTGCTAGAACATTCGAGTTGATGTGTCAGTTTTTATAGAGGCTAAACAGTGGCCGGACTTAATTATTCAAGATTTGGGACATAGAAGATAATGCCAATATAATCTTATTAAAGCTATATTTGATTATTTCAGTAAATTAAATGTAAAGTTTTTATAAATTAGACATCTTTAATTTGTATGCGCGTAAATTTTATTAGGGCTGAGAAAAAATAAGTTTTATTGGCTTAATTTGTATCTATAGCTAAACTATTATATAAAATCATATTATTAACAATACCAGTTGTTATTATTCAAACTCTTATAATTTTACTCTCACCTTGTGATTTGTTTGACCCAAGAAACCTAAATTCAATTTTGAATGTTAATTAGATTTAAAATCGTCAATTGTTATAGTTGTAAAAGTTTATGTTCGCCATTTTCTTTGTAATTTACTCATGATTAAGAGATTCAATAGCTACAATTCTATTCCAAATCATATAAATTTATACTATTGTTTTTAACTTAAATATATTTAGAAGAATATTTTAAATTATTTTAGAATTTTGTCTCAAAAAATAAGATATAGAACCAATTTTGGCTTAAAAAAAACTAGATTTAGATATAAAACCAATTCTAAATAAGACTCAACATCAAATTTGCTAAAGCCAAACTAATTTTATGAAAAGAAGCGCTTAGATCTTAGACTTAATCCATATAAAAGAATTCTAAATGGATGTGGTTTGACTTTATGCTAAAGCAGTTTATGCACGTTTCTATATTGTACTGGTATATGTTACTTATTCTTACATTGTGAATAATTTTATACAAAATATTTTTTTATCAATTTAACTATTAAATTATAACTATATATTACCTTAATCATTAATGTTAAATTTATTGAAATTAAATAACTATAAGATTGCAATTAAAAAGATCTTATTTTCATATATATTATGTTAAATTTAATGTATAATAATAAAGTATCAAACAATTTTATATTGATTTATAATTATAATTTATATAATTGAAACTTTTAATATTACCTTTAGTTTATAAATTAAATTATTCAATAAAAAAGTTATTAAACGGTGTAATGTATGTAAGTATTTATGTATTATAAATAGGTGTAATTTTTTAATTATTTTAATATTATATATTATTTATGTATAATATTTATCTAATTTATAATATTATGTTAAATTTACTGTTTTATTTTATTTTTTAGTATAAATAATTTGATAAATAATAAATTAATAAATAAAAATTATTCAAATTTGTTTAATATTCTGTTTGGTTGAATTCTGTTGTTTAATGTCCCAAATTTTGTAAGGATACTATATATATATTGATTTGTTCATGCAAATGTATGTGTATTGAATTATGTTGCTGGTTTGATTGATTTGGAAAATTGGCTAAGTATGTAGTGCAAAGGTGTTCTCGCTGAAGCGAGAGGACCCTAAGAGGAAGGCGCGAGATTGTTGCTTTCTCACTGTAGCAAGAGAGCAACAGTGAGGGATGCATTTTTGGGTGAAGTCTCGTTGTAGCGAGATTTTGCAGAAATTAGGGTGCAGTTTCCTCTAAGATTTTTGCTGTAGCAACAAGGGGCGTCACTGCAACGAGTGAGAGATGTCTTGCTGCAGCAAGAGTGTGTCGCTGTAGCGAGCGTGTTGCGATTAAATGGGTATTTGAAGGGTTTAGGGTTCAAAAGATTTATTTTCTATCCCCCCTTTGAAATTCTTTCGATTCTCTCTATTTCCAACTCGTTCTTACCGATTGAATTGCCTCCAAAGCCATTTAGAAGCTAGATTGAAGGTTGAAATTG